ACCAGATCAGAATCCTACCTTTTCTTCACGTATCTGACTTTCTCTGGGCTTAGTGAGCCGACGCAAAATGAGGCCAGTGAGTTACTTGGACGCAATAGACACCAAACCGATGCCTCTGTGGTTGTCACATAGACTTCGGGTCCCTTCTTTGAGAATAGGAATTACTGTTGATAAACACCGATCGCGAGGCACCTCTTCAGTCTCCCAAACAGTCTGGAGGAGTGTCGTCAGTTCTGATATCAACCTCTCGCCAGCACCCTTGAAAAGAGGAGAGAGGAGATCTGGACCAGGAGCCTCATTACGCTTCAATAACTTGAGCTCCAGGATCACTTCTGCTTCCGACTGATGGCCGTCTGGAACGCGATAACTGGCCATTCAGGTTCCGCCGTCTACATGATCTGGGTGAGACCAAGTGAACTGTTCTTCAAAATGTTCAGCCCATCTGTTAGGTTGGAGCGATTCATTAGTGATATGGTCTCAATTACACCGACTCGACGACCAGTACAACCACGGATCAGGAAAAAAAGCTTTCTGCTATTCTCAGACAAAAAGGCTCTTTCCATCTCTTTCGATTGTTCGACCAAGTAGTGCTCACGGTGCTTTATGCTCAACAGTGGCGTTGGCGGATTCCAGCGTGAACTGTTCGAGAAATCCTGCCTGGGCAGTCGATCCCCTGGATCATTTGGTGCAGTGGGTGGGTGGGTAACCGAGACCAAACGTGAAATTTTCGAGCTCCTGGCGTGGCTTCGTAGCTCAGCTGGTAAAGCGCTTCCGTGCTGAGGCATGGTGTTTCTGTTGCTGGGTCGAATCCAGCCGAAGCCCTGACTTTTCACAGCTGGGTCTCATCTAAAATCACCAATTTACTAAACTACTCGTTAGTGCTCATGGTCTTTGCGCAGGCCTTTAGTCAGCTTGCGTAGAAGTGCCCGATAGTCACAATCAAATTCAGAACCAGATGGGATCGATCGACGCATGTTAATGGGGTTTATCGGCGAGACAGAAATCCAGTTCTGTCGCAAATGAAGAGCTTTCTCGGAACGTACCTGTTCACAGCATGCCTTTATAGCTGTGGCAATTTGTTCCCAGTGTTCCAGTGTTCGTTATGATCAACCCCTGACTGGAACTGGGCAACCTGTTCACCAACGCCTTTTGGTAAACGTTCTTTACACTCTCATCGCTCAAATGCCAGTTGAGTACCTTGCATTTACGAGCGTGTATCCTCTGGGCAAATGATAAAACGAAACGGGCACGCACAACAACATGGTCCGGGTCTAGGTGGTTGCTGCAAAAGGCAAGACAGTCCTTAACAGAGTAGCGCCATCTGTAACTGATTGCTATATGGCCCAACTGTGTCCACGGTTGGGAGGCACACGGAGGTCTCCAAGTAACACAGTGCTTCTTCCTGTGTTGGAATGCGACGCTCACAATACGAAGACCATGGGATGCGCACAGTTGCAGCAGTCTTTCGCCATTATCAGTGCGTTGTGCCCGAACACCAAACATATCTCCTACTAGCTTCTCATCCGGAAAAAGACGACCAAGCCGAGCATTAAAATCGCCCGATAGTATGATGATGTCTGAGTGTTTAGTTTGCTTCAGAAAATCAACGAGGGAGTCATAGAACACATCCTAAGTCGTATCTGAACAGCCGTCCGTTGGAGTGTACGCCGATATAATGAATGCGCAACGCCTTTCTGATTTGCGTCGACAGACTTTAACTGACGTATTGAGTCTGACAGCGCACAAGCGACTGTTCACTGGGATCCAATCGAGCAAGCGTTGCTCCGCTCTGAAACTCAGTGCGATCCCCAATCCAGCTTGACCGCGAGATTCAACTTCAGCGTCACCAGAAACCCTGAGATACAAGCGCTTGGATCGACAGTTATCCAGAGGTCAGCTCAAATGGATAGCCATGCTAGAATCGCAGACTCGTCTCTCCGACACACAGCACACATCAATACCCAGACTTGAGAGAGTACTTGCCAAAGCAGCTTGCTGACTGACTTCTCGAAGAGTGCGGACATTAAAAGCACCAATAATTACCAGTTGTATCGGCCTCAGAAAACAATTATCGCCCGAAGGCACATGGAAAGCAGAAGATATGGGGGGTAAAATAGTAGCAGGAAGCTGTGTTGGACAGATAATGTCACTGTCGGGAGAACGATAACTTCCGACACTTCTCGGTCGTTTATGCCTCAGAAGAGGGTTGACTTGAAGGACCCCACCCCGAGCCTCTGACTCAAAAGTCTGACCTGCGAGACAACAGGATATAGGGTTTTCTTGAGGGACCCCACCAGGAACCAATGACTTAAGAGTCTGACTCACTTGACAGTGAGGAGTTTGCCTAACCCGAGAGCACAGTGAAAAAGACATTGACGTCTCATTCTAAGAACTGCTGTGCGCAGTGGATGTACTCGATGCGACAACAGGCTTTTGCGAGACAGATGATTTTAGACCGTATTGGATAATACGCCGGCGGTCACGGTCAACCGTTGGGCGATCAGTGCTCTTTGTTTGAGGGTACCTTTTCTAACCCCCTTCTTCCTGATACGGAAGACAGCAGTGCCGCAACTATGAAAATAGTTCTGCTGTATGCCCATAGGATCGTGCCTCACTACCTAAGCACTCCTACGCGATCAGTAGTGCGACATACAATCCTATGAGTGTAACTGCTTTTCGTCTGACTGTTCCCCTTTGGCTTGTCTGACAAGGTTGCACCTGGAAGGACCGGAGTCCTAATCAGCATAGCCCGCCGGATCACAACAGTATACAAGCCCAACCACCTCACCAAGGTAGCAGCATACGTCAGGGGTCACTAATTTCTAAGATAATGTAACACATACAAGCACACCAACAAGCAATAAGTGAATTTGTTGATATAGACTGAACATCACTCACAAAAGATTGCAGCTCATGTATTTCTATACACTTTCCAGCCGACTACTTTTGAAAAGACACTAGGTACGACTTTAGCTTTAACAGAGCTCGTCAGTAGTGCATACCCTTGCCACTGGTGGGAGTTGAACTCTATCCACGATTCCGTGAAGCAACCGCTTGTCCACTGCGCCAATGACCTCACGGCACAAGACCGGATACAAACATTTCGCCACATGCGATTGCTGAAGATCTATGGGAATGACAAAGTGCGATCAATCGTTAAGGATGTTTAGGTACCAGAAGTATACATAAATTAATCCTCTTGGGGAGGACTCCTAGAGAGACAACTTTCGTCCAGTGTCAAGAGGCTTCCAAAAGAATTGAGAAACCACAACAGATCATTCCCCCGAGTCCACCACGGGCCACAGTTCTGACCGTAAGTTGGCTGAAGCCACGCCTACGATGTTTACCACCATTGTCTCAAAATTTGGAGTTCAACCTGATCATTCTACAAACAAATCGAATTACCCTAAGCCGCTGGTGTCACTACCCCATCCGTTTTACGCAAACAAATATTTTCAGCACTGGTATACTTAGAACAACATTGTGGGGGTAGCGGTCACCACCTGATCTCCATTCTATTAGGTAACTTGTAGACACCCAATGTTTTACAAAATACTTAATCGATGAAATCCGCAATTACTGCTTGCTAAATCGTTGATAACCTTGACACGGCGTAGACGTGAAATCAACCAAACACAGCTTTGACAACGCCCATGCGGGTCAACCGATACATTGGTGTGAACTCGCAACCGAGACACGAAATAGTTGCTGTTTCTGCGAAGTATTTTAAGCACAGAGCACACTGAAGTTGATTCACGGGACAGGGTTAATAGGAAGTGCAAAATAGAATCTGTCTGACAAATAATACGTCACAAATTGTAAAAGGAGCACAGCAGGCCAAAATTCGAGAGAGCCTGCTCACCAGTTTGTTGTTATATACATTGTGTTGTGTATCTTGAAAAAGAAAGATTAAGTAGAAGCAATTAAGAATATAAGTAAAACTGGGATAACACCTACCAGCCTGAGGTAGTACGCACCGAAAAACATAAATGATCAAGTACAACGACTGGTTCTTCAATGTACGTGAGGAAAATTTGCTTCTCAAGGGACAATTGAAGAAAACGTCCGAAAGATCGCCCCATAACTAACAGCTTCAACATTCGTCGTCAAAACTCACTGGCTACTTGAGCCCAGACAAACCAATAACAGCAGCTCACTGAGGATTAACGGGAAGATATACACGACATCGAAAGATGTTATGGATGACATGAAATAGTGGACTACAACAACTGTCGAAAGATACGTGAGTCATGATGTCTCCAGGTGATAACCAAGATGGGCTCCTACTCCCCAGAGAAAACTATTTTTGATCCGCCTGCCAACAGTTCCTTCACGGTGATCACAGACACAATAAACAAGGAAAACAAACCCCAAATGGTGAATACTTATTCTAACGTTTCAAGTTCACATGACAGTGTGCAATGGACAGATCAGTGTATACAAGCATAAGACCATGCGTAGACAATGTTACACGGTCCATTCACCTAATTCCGAATTGTTTCTACTTGAACGGATTTTTTCCTTAAAATATGTATAGACCGACGAGTTATTGTTTATTCGTAGGCACTATTGATCAATAACGTGATGCACGGCAGATCGTATCACAGTGCCACTACTTCGAGCCCGCGATCGTTTAAACATGCGTGTATCTAAATAAACGACCCTTTAATGAAACGTATGATATGTTACCTGCTTCCATTTGCGCTGTGTACAGCGCATTTCAGTATCCGACAGTATGTCACAATTCCAGGATGAGGTAAATCCTCATAAAGGCAATAACAAAATCCAAAGTACTACGATGACAAACCAGTTTCGATATGATATAACGCTCTCTCTATCGCTGACCCAGAACCGAGAACAAGAATGGGTGCGGCAACAGCGTTTATTGGAAAAGCGAGGCGAGTTCCATTAGGCCACAGAGGCTCTAAATTTATAGGTCCAACAGAGAACAAACCACATTACAGAGGGGCATTAGAAAGTGCACTCGTGAGAACAGTCCACATAATGTACAGGCGTTCGATCGCGCAGCTGCAATCTAATTGAGCTTAATGGAGTGAGTGAGTTAAAACATATCAATTAACTTGAAGCCGGATCAATTAATCAACATGACGTGATTCACCTTGCTGCTTCGTTAGAAGACGCGCCTCCTAACACAATACCTACGGCAGAAATGCAGACTGGGTGAAGAGCGGATTCTGAAGTAGCTACTGTAAGGGTGCCCTAAAATAGGTAGACGAAACCCTGGTCGCCGGGAAACGCGAAAGTATGACGGTATTCAAGCAAGGTTTAAAATACACTGGTGATATTAGGTCACATAAGGACACAGTCATGAACCTGACCATATGAAGTACGATCCCGGCAGACACAAAAGTTCTATGAACAGCAGCCCAGCGCGCGGTGCCCAAAAGGAAACAATGTCGCCGTAGGTAGTGGCAAGGTGATTGTGTGTTCTTAAAATGAGTGATGTTACAACTACGTTGACCATCTCGAAATAATGAGTTATCAGCACACGCGTATCGGGGAATTAATGTGTTCGTTGAGAGTATAGTCAAACAAATCAACGAAGTGCGGTAGCTTGGCAAAACATGCTCTTAGCTTTCGGCAATCTGGTAACAGGCTACCAATCGTCTATTCCGATCTCTGGAGAGTTTGCAGTTAAGTCTCTTCAGTAAAGTTTAAACAAGAATCCGTTTTGTTTCCTTAAGTTGTACGGACTTTATTAACATTAACGCCAACACGTTTGCATTCTATTCCGCCCGTTTCACGTCTCCAGCTTTTCTTACTTTAACCCCTCAAAGTTGCCTCCGCATTTTTTATGCTTG